CCCCCACCTCTCTGCGTACTCACCCTCTACTCCATCAGGCGGTCCTCCCCATGTCCAGCGTTTAGGCCTGTTATCCAGGTGGTCCCGGGCCTCCCCCCCTCCTCCTCCACCTCCTCCTCCTCCTCCTCCTCTTCTCTCAGCTCCTCCGGCTCTCCGGCGGACCAGGGCCTCCAGCCTCTCCTGCTCGTTGCGTTCGGAAACAGGGAAGAAAAGACACTCTCTCACTGAGCCATCACTACGGCGACGGGCGCCTGGCGATGCGCTCGGAGACGGCTGCGCCATGGTTACCGCATGCAAACCGCAGCAGCCTCGCCCCTCCGTGCTCTTCACGCTCGTCTGTTCTGTGTCTGCTGGCGGTCACCAGCGCTCGATCGCTGGCTCGTCTGTCACTCAGTGATACATAATACAGCAGCTCTCTCTCTCTCTCCTCTCTCTCTGTCTGCCGCTCCCTCTAGGTAGCACTGACTCCCTCTCTCTCTCTCTCTCTCCTACCTCGCAATTGTTTACCCCACCCTCTCTCTCTCTCGTTTCTCTCTCTCTCTCTCTCTCTCTCCCTTCGTCTCTCTATTTCACAGAGCAGGTTTTGGGTCAGACGGGCAGGGACAAATGCAACCGTCCCCACCCCCATATATACACACACACACACACACACACACACACTGAGTGGGTGGATTAGATGTTGATACTGGTTGCATTTGTTTCAGCTCCAGGTCTCTTTTTTCTTTCCTTGTCTCCTTCACTCTTCCTGATTCTACCTTCTTGTTTCCACACACAGTTTAATATCATTTAAAATATACAGTAGTTTCATAAAAATACATTCATAAACAACAATACAAAATAATAATCAATAATAATTTCCATCTTGGTGAGAAATGTCTTCATTTTGTGTATTTCCTTCATTTATTCATTGGATCTGTAATTTCTGCATATTTTTGGGGGATTTATATTTCTTATTTGTTTATTTATTGATTATTTATTTGTTTCTTTATTTGTACTAATTGGTATCTATGATCACATGCAAATATCATTCTGTAAAAGACCCAAAAAAGAGGAAGCGGATGCATTTTTCCTGCTCGTTCAATGACAATTTAAGATCAGATCTATTATTCATAAATATATATTAATATCAGATATTCAAAGAGATTTCATGGGTTATAAAAAGGTTTCTGCAGGCCCGTAGCATGAAATTAATACCTGTTTCATGATAAGTATAAAGCATGATGGAAAACCAGCCGATAGGATACGGTCTACAATTATTTACCATAGTTTTCTGTACTTCGTAGCAACAACAACAGCACAATCCCACCTTTTACTTTATAAATGTGTCTCCTGACAGCCTGCAACCACTAATAAAAACATTTTATATAATAAAATTACTGCCAGCGACAGGCAGGAGAAAGTATTCAAGAATTTATCAAATGTAATATTTTAATATCTTCTAAGAATAAAAAGCAATTTGCATATTGTTCTATTTTAGGTCCTTAAGTGCTTTTTCGAATATATTTACCCATTATAATCAGTGATGTGTTCCCTATATTACATAGAGTGAATGTTATTATTATATTACACTTATATTTGTTTGGCTTTATATTTCTTATTTCTTGATTTCTTGATTATTTATTTGTTTCCTTATTTGTACTGATTGGTCTCTATGATCAAAGGCCAACAAAGAGGAATTACGATGCTTTTTTCCTGCTTGAAATGCTGATCAGCTGTTTATTTACAACCACATCTCATTCTGGTTTGTCAGTTAATGACCATTAATGGTGGCGGTGTTGGTAAGCAGACAGCAGTTGTACTGTATATAGAGTAATTGCACAATTTAAAGCTGATACACTGCTCCAGGACACCGTCTATATATTTATATATATATATATTTATATATAAAGGATGGAAATGCCCCACCTCAGCATTGTGGGTGGTGTTTGCTGAAGGTGCATGCAGAGTCACGCACAGACTGCAGGAGGGAGGAGAGACGACGGGGGAGGGAGGTGGGGATTTAAAAAGAGAGAACAGGAATGTAAGATGAGTGGGGGGGTAGTAGAAGTGAAGAGACAGAGAGATATTTGTAGATACAGATCAAAGACAGAGAGGAAAGCAGAGTCATTTGCTGTGACTCAGGTCGGTAGGAGAGGCTGTCCACCACTAACACAACTAATAAATCACATAAATCAACCTTTTTCTGTAAGGGAGCCCTTTTCTATCATTGCAATGCAAAACAACAACAGTATAGAACAGCTGATAAACTGTACAATTAA